AAATTCAAACCAAAACAATGGTTGAGGGTTCAAGAAAACAACAAATCAACATCCATGCAAAAAGGGGAACTAAACACTCATAGACAAACATTTAGAAAATACAATATGGATATCGACCAAAAGCTCAAAGAGGTTACTAATGATCATACAATCACAAGGTGAATTGACTATTTGGCTAGGTAGTTGTGCTCAAAATGAAACAAAAATGCATTGATCCTTTTCTTGCATTCATACAATCAACACAAAATAAAAGATTAAGCATAATAAAATCCAGTTAAAACAAAAATTGTGGCCTCCGGCATATGTGAACAATGGAAAGCTATCTCACAAAAAGGCGGGAACTAAAGTAATTCACAAATGAACAAGTATACAAAAGAATGAATGACATAAAAATTGTAAAAAGTCTAAGTATCATGAATATGCTAAAGTATAGAAAGCGATAAACACATACCCAACGTGTACAAAACTTTAACAAAATCATTACCATGCATTCGCAAGTCGAAACGATCAAACTTGACAAATCACCTCAATATTCTACAAGTTACCGGACCAAAACTTGAGTCCAAACAACAACAAAAGAATTAGAAAAATAATACTCCTACAAAATTTTAATGTACAAAATTTATAACATTTACAATGAACAAAACTCCTCAAGCTAAACACGACAAGCTTTTGAAAAACACAAATTGACATAACAAAACAAATGCAAATAACGATATGAAAATCGGGTGAAAATAAATTAACAAGTTGAAAAGTGAAGATTTGAAATTCAGAATATTTCCCTGTTTCAACTTGTTAAAACACAAATCACCACACACATAAAACAAATACAAACAAACATGCTTGTTTTACGTTGTAAACTCGACACCTTTATTGCGTAAGCTAGTAACCTTCTCTTGTCATACCATGGTATTGTCACACCACGCAAACCTGAAGAAAGTATCCTAACAATCACACAACAAGCGTTACGAAAACGAGACAATTCACAATAATACGTGAAAACACATATATGCACAAATATCATATACAAGTTAATGTAACTTTTCTATACCACATATACCTTAATTACAAAACTCAAAAACAAAAGAATTATCACAATGCGAAAACAATATAACTAATCCCCAACAATGGCGCCATTTTGTTGCAGCGGTAGGACGGCAAGCAAAAAGTAAGTTATTAATTTATCGAGTGATATGTAGGTTATATCGTATCGTATCCATAGAGATTGGTTATTGAATCGATATTCGACAAATCATTCGTTAATGAGTTTGGGGTTTGAATGGTATAGAAAAGAAAAGTATCAATAGAAAATAAATGTAAACAAAAGAAAAAACTAAGGAAGAACTTATCAAGCCTGCATATAATCTACTTATCACAGACTTAAATCTATTGACCAGTTACATTAAACCTAACAATATTCATCAATGTCACTACGTATCACTCACAACCTAAGTCATTTCTAACCCAAATCGAGAGACTGACTGTATCTTCAAAGAAATAATCTCTCTACCTCCTCAACAACACAAAAGATAATTATATAATCACACTAACGATCTCTCAGCACAACACAACCACAAAGAGACATTAAACTCGGATACCCAAGTATATGTCAACTTTAAATCTATCTCTAGAGTTCAAAAACTAACAGATAATCACCCTAGATAAGAATCTAAGCAGTATATGTCTATAACAACTCAAATCTCTAGCACAGAGCAAAAATCTAAGACAACAATCAACAAAGATTTGTAAAGCAAGTTTAATATAATGTCTTGGGCGATAAATATACATGAGTTAAAAGTAAAATACATACAAAACCCAACAAAAGAGAAATACATAGAGAGCAGAAGAGATAAACCACAAATCTTCTGGTTTGTCAGCGCCGGTCGATGAGAAATTTACCTCCAATCATCCATAAGCAAAGTCCTAGTGTTGTTATCTAAGCTAATCCACTATAAAAATGAGATTGATGGAGCTGGAAGAATAAACACTCAACCCCAAAACCATCACTCTCCAAAAATGAAACAAAATGAAATATAAACAAATTTTGTTCCGCACGCATCGCCCGACGCCATAAAGCTTCGGCCGACGACGACTTCTATACACTTGGCCCAAACTGCGCCACGTCCTCAACTGAAACAAATATCTAACGTCGCCCGGTGACACACTGATTCACCTGACGACTCCCTTTATTTTTTCCCGACGACCTAGACACGAAGCAAGGCAGAGGCAACATCCAAAATTTGCTCTTATCGCCCACTGTCGTCCGACGACAGGAATTTTGCTCGGTGATGCATGACAGTTCAACAACTTTTGTTGCTTCCACTGCATAACTTCATCTGGCCTCCAATCTTTGCCTTCTTTTTTTATTGATCAAAAAATACATCTTGGAGCTTTATTTGGACTTTTTTCCTCAATGCTCCAATAATGCAACAAATACCTACAAAACTTATATAAAACTAATCAAACGATACAATATGTATTCAAAACGCAACTAAACGTATTTACAACAAAAAGCAAGGTTATTCAACTGATATTTAACAACAAAGAATCCATAAGTGTAACAAAAAATATATACAAAATAACTACACTTTTACACTTATCAAACACCTGCTAGTTGCATAAAAGAACAAGATGTTATGACATCATGTTCGACATCTGGTCAGAACCATATTTTAATAAAATTATGCCAATACCAAAATCATGGAACTAACAATTTTTATTTAGGTATCATTTACGAAAATATATGGATTAATAGTAAATTTCGTATATAAAAATATTTAGATCAATAATAGATTTTTTTTCCTATAGCATTTTTAGATCAATAATAAATTTCAAGTATTTTAAATTTTTTTGATATTTTACGAATCCATATTTAAATTCACATCCAAAATTGCTTAATAAACTTATTATTAAATATGTTAAAATGTAAAAAGATACACCTACTAAAATTTAAACTTGTTTCCTTTAAGCAAAAAGCTGCATGTCTTACCACGTGACCACTGAAACTATTGTGATCTCATAAGTTCTTGTATCTACAGGAAAAGTTTTAATCACAATATCAATTTAGAGGACCATCATATCAAAAGTACTAAAAATATTCGGTTAAAGTAGATTACATGTTATGATGGAAGAGTTGTTGTAACTTATTTAAAGAAATAGTTCTAGAAAACAATATTTAGACAACAAAAACTATTGTAAGAACAACTTCTCTATGTAAAAATAATATATAGTTTCACACGTTATCAAAAGTACTATTGTATTTAATGAAACATATTGGTTATGTTAGAAGAAGAAAAAGATGTTTCAAGTTTCTAATAAACTAAAAAGTAATAGTGTAGTAGGGTGTAGATTTGAAATTAAATTTCAAGTTCATGTATAGAGTTGGATATGGGAGTTACTAGGTTAAGATATCAAACCTGATAGGACTTATAGTAAATAGAAACTTGAGACATGATTTTGAAGTATAGAAGTACAACATAGACTTGACAGGTTGATGTTATCCAGTCTACTTTTTGATCAACAATGTACTATAATAAGATGTAGCAAGAAAAATATAATTAAAAAATGAATTTAACGTGACTTTTTAACTTAATTTACTCCAATGTGATGCTTTATTAATCATGTTACTTAGTTTGTTTTTCAAGTGAATGTCATTTTTCATTACATTAGAGCACTATTATCGATCACTTTTTACCGTTTCTACACATTAATCAAAGTACACTGTGTTAGAATTAGGGGTGTTCTCGGTTCGGTTTAGATCGGTTTTAAAGCAAAAATTCATCCGATCTAAAGATTAATTCACTTAAGGTTCGGTTCGATTTTGGATGATATATTTAAAAAAATCCAATCTGATCCGATCTAATTTTATGCGGTTTAATTTGGATCGGTTTTTGGATATCCAAATTACACATTATATTTTTATTAATATTATAAAACTATTAATAAATCATAGATTTGATATAATATATAACATATAGTATATTAAAAGTTAATATTACAGAATGAGAGTGATTGATTATACTTGAAATAATAAAAATAAATAGATTATACCAAACTAATAAATATTATTAAAAAAATTATTATCATCTAATAATAAATTCACATAACATGTCATACTAATAAAAAGTAAATAAGTATCAAAATATATTTATGCGGTTCGGTTTGATTTGGATCGGTTTTGAAAAATTCATCTGAAACCAATCCGAACCGATCGGTTTTCATAAAATAACATCCAAACACAATCAATAAATTTCGGTTTTTTTATGATTTTCAGTTTTTTGGATCGATTTTCAGTTTTTTATTTGGATTGGTTTGGATTTGAACACCCCTAATCAGAACTAATGGATATTTGTAAAAAAAAATAATGTCTCTATATATGCCAACGTTGATTAGTGCAATAACGATTTTACAATGTGCCAAGCTGGAAATTTCAACGATGGAATAGGTATTTTGACTTTTCAACATATGGAAAAATATATTAAATTAACAATAATATTTAGAAACAGCTATATTAAATTATTTCAATGCCTAACGTTATTAAATTATTTCAATGCCTAACGTTAATATTTTGAAACGGCTAATAAATTAACGGTAACATTTTAACAGCTTGAATAATAACGATAATATTTTTGAATTCTATAAATAAGTTAGTAATTTTATTATAATTTTCATTTACAACTAGTCTATTTTTAAACTATTAATTTTATCTTATCTTAAACTTTTTCTTCTACACATTATTTACAATGGATCCTAATCAAAATAGCTCTTAGTCTAATTTTATACAAAATGGTGGTAGTCCTCCTTCTATTCCAAATCAACAAAGCAACTCATTCTTTAGAAATGCACCTTTTATCTCAAATTCACACCATAACCCAAACTTTCAAAACTCTCAATTTATCCCAAATCCACAAAATAATCCATACTTTGGAAATTACTCATACTATACACCACCTTATCCATATCAATATCAACAATTTACATCTCAATCAACTAACCCCACTATGCCTCATGGAACTCAAATATGTAGTAGTGGTGTGCAATCAAATGATCAAGAACGTGAAACACCACAATCTTGCACTCAAGGTAGCTTAGAAACTACTAACCTTAGTGAAGAAGTTGCACTTGCACCGGTTGTGAATACGCATAAACAAAGGTTCCAACAAAGAGAGGATGAAGTTCTCATTCAAATATGGCTCAACGTTTCAAAGGATTCAATTGTCGGGGTTGATAAAAAAGGAGATAGTTTTTGGAAGAGGATCGACGAAGCTTACAACAAGCATCGTGACATTAATTACAAAGAAAGGAACTGGCGCAACTAAAAGGGCGATGGCACAAAATTAATCCATTTGTTCAAAAGTTTGTTGGATGCTACAAACAAGCCGTGTCTACACAACAAAGTGGGAGTTTCGAGAGCAATATCATGCAAGATACATATAAAATCTATTTCCAAGATGAAGGTGAAAAGTTTACATTTGAGGTTGCATTGAGATTATTGAAAGATGAATCTAAATGGCTCGCAGGTTCATCCGAAGCTTCTACAAAAAGAAGAAAGAATTCGACTTCAGAAGCATATTCTTCGCATTCTAATCCATTAACACCAACAAGTAGTGAATACGATCCATCATCACCTACTTTGTCAGGTCGTCCAATCGGTCAAAAGGCAGTCAAAAGGAAGGAGAAAGAAAAGCTTGTGGAAATGTCTTCTACATCCAATGTCAAATATTGTTCTTTGAAAGATGACTTAAAAATGAAAATTGATCTGATGTCAATGTTTGCACAGACTATGCACACATTGAGGGTGAAAAACTTGAGATAGAGAGAAAAAAGGTTGATGCAAAGATTAAGAAGGCTGAGATTGCCGAGGAAAGATTAAAGATGAATGATCTACAAATACTCTCAAAAGATACATCAAATATGGATGCAAGACAACTACAAGCTCATGAAATATTGTGCGACACGATTAGAGAAAAATATGGAATTAATTAGCATGATTATGTATTTTGAATAAATTAGTATGATTATTATTTTGTGCTTAATTAATATGATTATGTAGTTTTAATTATTATGATTATGTATTATGTGCTTAATTAGTATGATTATGTATTTTATTATTTTTTGTATGATTATGAATTTTGTGTTTAATTATTCAAATTCAAACTAGCCGTTATTCAAAGTCAAACTAGCCGTTACAAACTAATCTTATAAATAGTATTAACATGCACACTAAGCTTCATAACACTTCTTTTCATTCACTACCTCTTTCATTTTCTATAACTTTTTATCATCTTCATCTATATCAAACTTCTTTTCACATGGATCCTTCTAATCATTCCCACATTACAAAAATGTTCATGGATTTTATGAATGATGATACAGATGAAGAACTTGTGAGGTTGTTTATGGAAGAAGAAGCCTCAAGCTCTAAAAGGCCTAGATGTCAAAGAAGGAATATAGAGAGGAATCGTGAAGAGGGACATGATCGATTGTTCAATGATTATTTTTCAGAAACTCCTGTATACACAAATGAGCAGTTTCGTCGAAGGTACCGAATGCATAAACATGTGTTTCTTCGTATTGTTGAAGCTCTGGGACAACACGATGAGCATTTTCGAATGATGGTTGATGCAACTGGTAGGTCAAGTCTTTCGCCATTACAGAAATGCACGGCTGTTATCCGTATGTTGGCTTATGGAACATCTGCTGATAGTGTGGATGACTATTTGAGAATTTGTGAAATCAGGACACTAAAATGTGTTGATTAGTTTACAAGAGGAGTGATCAACATCTTTGGGGCACAATATTTGCGAAGGCCCAATGCTGAAGACATTGAACGCCTAATGCGAATGGGGGAAGCACGAGGATTTCCAGGCATGTTAGGGAGCATTGATTGTATGCATTGGGAATGGAAAAATTATCCAGTTGCATTGAAATGGCAATATGTTCGAGGTGATCATGGGAAACCAACTGTTATGCTTGAAGCAGTGGCTTCACAAGACTTATGGATTTGACATGCATTCTTTGGTGTAGCGGGTTCAAACAACGATATTAATGTGTTGAACCAATAAAATGTCTTCAATGATGTTCTGCAAGGACGAGCTCCCGAGATTCATTATACAATCAATCGTACTGAATACAACAAGGGCTATTATCTATCAGATGGTATTTATCTTGAATGGGCTACGTTTGTGAAAAGTATCCCGATGCCACAAGGTGATAAGAGAAATTTGTTTGCCCAACATCAAGAAGAGGCAAGAAAGGATATTGAACGAGCATTTGGAGTTCTTCAATCCCGATTTGCGATCATACGTAACTCAACACGATCTTGACACTTAGACACACTCCAACGCATAATGAATACATGCATCATATTACACAACATGATTGTTGAAGATGAACGTGCCGCATATGGTGGAAATTTTGATTTTTCTTATGATCATTTTAACAATGACTCAACAATATTGTCGAATGATTCTAATATTGATTTTCAAGAGTTTCTACGTAGAATATTTGGTGTTCGTGACAAGCAAATTCATCGGCGTCTTCAACAAGACTTGATAGAACACATATGGCAACGTTTTGGAAATGAGAATGACAATAGTTAAAAATTGTTTTAAATTTATTTTTTTCTTATAATTCGTATTAGTGATGCATTTTTGAATTTATGATTTTTTTAATATAATTTTGATGAATTATTTGTATCATGTATTTTTTTATTTAATATATATTTATTTTAACCTTATTTTGAAGATATGTCTTTTTAATGTATTTTGATATATTTGAATTAATTTTTTAATTATATTTTATGTAATATATTGTGGAGTGGAGTGGGACCCATTTTAGATATTTTGACAAGTTAGATGAATATTTGAGAATTGTAGATGAGTTGTTTAAAAAATTGAAAAGTGTGAAATAATACAAAAAAAAATTATGTGGATCTCATTTAAAAAAACTCAAATAGGTATGATGGATGTGGATGCTCTTAGAGACCATTTTCAATATTTATATACAAATATATAGTATTGTATAATCTTCTTAGTGGCTCTCTTAAATTACCCTTATTTCTTCAATCCTATCATAATCTCATCTAAAATCATATTCTCAATTTTCTTTTTTATTTCTCTTTATTCACCAAACATATACTATGTTCTCTCTCACCTCTCATACCATTTCAACCTAGTCACAATCCTTAGCCTGTTTGCAAAATGAAGTAGTTCTAGTCAGTGCAAAGATGAACAATATACAGATCCAAAGCAAAAAGGCATGAAAAATAAGTAATAGACCCCATTACAAATACAAAACGCCTATGACATTCTATTTTGCAGGATTCTGATTTTTTTATTTTTGTTTATTTATTATTGTAAGGAACTGTATTGAATAAAACATGTCAATGACAATTCTAAAAGAATGTTCATGTTTCTGTTTCAGTAAATGTTGATGTTTCAGTAATAAAGATGAGATAAGATTTATTGTTAATTTACTTAGATTTAGAAACAGTAAAGATATGAAGCATTGTGTTAGACATAGAAGTGATTTACAATTACCAAAACATACAACTGGAACATCCACCACTTCCTTCAACGACAACAACAATAACCTGTGAAGCAACTAAAAAGCAATTAATAAATTTATTTACATGCATTAAAAAAAGCAACATCTTTGTTGAAGAAAATGAAGACAGAAGAAAGAAGAAGAAGAGAGAGAGACAGAGGAAAAGAGAAGAAAGAGGTAGCGAAAGATAGAAAAAAAAAGAATGTGAAGAAAGAGAGTGTCATTTTGCATTTATAGGGGAAGCATAATATTTTTTAGATTTGTATCTCACATGACATTGGAAAATGGAAAAAGTTGTAGAATTTGAAAATGGATAATTTGATTTCAACAAATCAATGTAAAAAAGTGGACATCAAGGTAAAAGTGGATGGCAAAAGGTAACTATTGTTCAATAATCAATATGATAGTTTGATTGTTGTAAAAAGTAAATTTTAGACACGAAATATTCATGAAATAGTGAGGTGGCAGACAAAGAGGAAAGGGTAAAACAATGTTTTTTGGAGCAATTTCTTTTCTTATATTATAGATAACCATCTAATTTTATGTTTTTTGTTAGATTTTGTTTGAGAAATTGAGGAAGAGAGGAATGAAGAGTTTCAATTATTTTTTTAAATATAGATAAATTTTTAATATTTTTTGAATTTTTTTTATAAAGGTTAATAAAATAGTGTTATTTTTAAATGTCATTTTAACATAAAGCTTTTCAATCAAGATAGTGGATTATTAGAGTTATTTTTTCTATTAAACACTTATTTATTTTCTCTTTTCAAATAAGTTCAATCCTACACTTTCTCTCTTTTTTCAATAACTAATTGAGAAAATAATTAATTTTATGGAAAATATAAAGTGGAGTTATTGAGAAGGTAAGAGTATAATTGACAAATTATAATATTAAACTATAAAAACGACACTTAAATAGAAATAAAAAAATTCTTCTAAAACAACACTTAAAAAGGAACGGAGGGAGTAACATCTTTTAATTTTTGAAATACCATAACAACATAAATTATATTTGAAAAATTTGTATAAATCATCCAAACCATTCCTCCAATACAATTTTTTAGTTATCCCAAACTAAGGAGATTTTATTTGTGAATAAAAATAAATCTTCCAAAATCCTCCCCATCTAAATTCTTCTATTCTTTTCACTTAATCTTTTCCTTTTTCAAAACTCTCTCCTCCTTTCTCCTCCAAACTCTCAATTTTAAAAAAATATAGGAAAATATTTGACATTTTTTGAAAGAGTGATTTTGTATAGAATAATAAAAGAGTTTTAATCATTACTATATTTTTTATTTTCATAATATTATAACAACATAAATTATATTTGAAAAATTTTATGTAAGCCTTCCAAGACCCTCTAAAACCCTCCTTCAATACTAATTTTGAGTTTCCCAAATTAAAGAGTTTTTGGTGTTATGAATAAAAGCAAACACTCCAAAACTCTCTCAACCAAAATTCTTCCATTATTTCCACTCAATCATTCTCTTTTTTCAAAGTATTCCCCTCCCTTCTTCTCCAAACTCCCAAACAAATTCATACTACATATCATTATTTATTGAGAGAAAATATAATATATTTTGGGTTAAATATACAACATCTCCCTTCAATGGAAGTGGGATCCGCTTTATCCCCTGTAAAAGATTTTTGTATTCCCCTTGTAATATCCAGATTCCGTTTGTAAGGCCCCGAGCGCTAGATTTCATCCAAAATTCCTTATTATTTCAGCGTAGCTTGTGTATAATTGATAGTGTGACTTTTATTTTTTATTTTGTTCATAATACATGGAAATTTATTTACTCATTTTGTTCCATTTCTGCTAGGATTTCCAAGGATGTGAATTTTCCCCCTTTCTTCATCTATTCTGTTTGTATTCTTCTATTCTATTTTGTGGCGCAAGATTTCTGCTAGGGTTCATCGAGAATAATCTTCATCGGGTTTAAAATCATGGGTGAAAGAAAAACTTCATTTGTTAGTAACTCAATGGACCGAGTTTGCCAAGATGTGGCTGTAATGATTTAATGAAGATGTGGATATCAAACACCATTGAAAACCCTAATAGAAAATTCTGGAAATTTCGAAATTCAGTGGTAAGTCTTTGTTCATGTTTGTCTTCGTTTTTCTCTTGACTTTAACTCTTATATTTGTTCTAAACATATTTGCAGAGTGGATATGAATTTTTCATGTGGGACGATGAGTTTTGTCAGGTTCAAAGGAATAAAATGATTTTCACAAAATGTTGTGAATGTGAAATGACAAAGGTTTATTTGAGGGAATATGTGAATGACATTGTCAAGGAAGCTGGAAATGAAATTGACAAGAAGTATGATGTAGAAATCAGTTCAAAGAAGATTCAAAAGATGAAGAAAAAGCTTGTAATGGAGAAGAACAAAAGCCACTGGTTGATGATTGCACTTGTTCTGTCATGGATGTTGTTTTCAATCTTTATTAAGTTAATGAAATCTTGTGTTTCAATTATTGTACCAATGTATCAATATGTGTACCAGATGTTGTATCAATGTGTCAATTGTCCTTTTATCTAATGGAAAAGTTGGATTTGCGAGAAATTTTGTCTGCTATTGCAGTTTGTTTAAAAATTCTGAACATAATTGGTATATTGTGAGGACAAAAATGCATAACTTAATGGCACATGAGTGCATAATTCATTACCAAGTAGCACATATAGTTCATAAGTCAGATACAAAATGGTACATAAAGTGCATCATTACAAGCATAACAAAATGACACATGATCTGTCAACATTACAAGCATAACTAAATGACACTTAATATGTCAACATTACAAGCATAATTTAAACAAAAGTTAAACATACTACTAAAAGTGGCAAATAATATGCATCATTACTACATAATTTACCATTTATTTTTCTTCAAAGACTTCAATGATATTGTTGACACCACAAGCTTAGAATCATGTCCATGTGTACTTTTGTTCTTTCTTCAGGTTCTATCAATGTTATTAGCTAGTCACTAGTTGAACCTTGACCTATAATTGACTTTTGAAACCACCTCAACTTAATTGTTTCACTCTTCTTTTTTTCTCATCTTCATGACAAGTTTTGTTCCCTTCTTCTTTTTCTGTTTGTGCTTGACTTGAACCAATATGACTTGTGTCTACCACACATGAGTCAAATTTACTTGTATCAATATGGTTATCTGCAGTGACCTGCACAACAGCAACATCGGTTTGATCATCAGTTTGCACAGTTGGTTGCACATCGGTTTACACATTAGTTTGGCCATCAGTTGTTTGCACATCAGTTTGCACAATTGGTTGCGCATCAATTTATACACCAGTTTGCACAGTTGGTTGCACATCAACATTGTCATTCTTATGCTTTGTCTCAATTTTAATTTTCTTTTCCGTGGGTTTCCTCTACATTCAAAACAACATGTGTTCAAACAACAAAGTTCACACAATTTAGTGCACACAATAAAAAATGCATAGCAGAAAATTAACAAAGTTCACATGTTACATTTCTTTTCAATGCATTAGGGTCTTGTGTGAGACTCTTGTATGACAAAACATTATGGACAAATTTATCACATTTGGTGCACTTATAGACCACATTAGGTCTTCTCCTCTTAGCACCATCCTCACCATATTCCCTTATCCTAACCTTCCTTGGTCTACCAGATCCATTTTTAAATGTTGGAGGTAGTAATTCTCCAATTTAGACATCTGACCTCATCTCCTGCCCATTGATAGGACCAGTGGCGGAGCCAGAAATATTATAAATCCTGGGCGAAAAATTAAAGATCGCAAATTCACATTGTATATAATATATAAATACTCATCAATCAAAATAACATATACTAGTGTATACTAAACTCCAGTGACTCCAGTGAGATTAGTATTAGGCTGAGATTAGTATACATTAGTAATTGTATCTTTGAAACAAAATACAGAGTTAATCAAATGCAGAATATAAGAAATAGAAAACAGATAACAGAAATTAGTATACGCTAGTATGTAGAATTCTGAATGCAGAAAACAATTAATAGTTAACTGGAACTCAAATGCACAATGCAGAGATTAGTATATAGTAGTAACTTTGAAATAGAATGCAGAGTAATTCAAATGCATAAGCATGTATACTACAATGAAAATTAAACAATACAAAAGCTGAAATAATATACTGGTTTACAAGCACATTCAAATAAGTTGAAACAATACAATGAAAAAATATTCCATGACAAACTATAACAATAACAGAACAATAATATTGAAATAAGTTGCACACACTTAAACCTTTGATTTATTCACAAGAGAAAAATACACCAAACAATAAAAATCATTATTAACAAAATAAACCAAGATAATCTTGACACAGGAATGTCTAATTCATTTTTATTTAGTTCAATTAATTAAGCAAACACAACAAAGACGCCAGTCATTAATATTAATCATTAAACATTTCATCAAAGCTATATCTCTAAGAAAAGAAGGATCACAAGATAAGTACCATAGGCAACGAAGACTTCAACGAATTCGACGCTGACGATAGAACCTTTCTACACACACTTGACTTCTATATTTCGTGTCTCTGGGTGTTACTAACTGAGATTTTTCACATATCCAGAATCTTCATTCATTTCAAATATCCAGAAGTACTCCCTGCATGTACAATAAGACATCAATAGAAGTAGAAGAGTCAAATTAATGGACACATATGTTTCACATTTAAACGGATAAATTTTACACATAATATTTATCATTAACTTAAATTGATAATTTTTGTACATAAGATTTTCCAGTAGTCCAATAGAAAAGTTGATATACTCTCTGGATTGGATTCTAGGATGCCCAATAAGAAAAATATTCGTTCAGAAATTTTACCGAACACTTGGTGGACATAGCACGAAACAACAAATTCAACACCACAACCTGCAACAACAACAACAACAACAAATAACAAAACAACAACAATGATGTAGGAGATATGAATTGAAACAGAAGCAAGAAGAAGAAAGAATCGGCGGAGGAAGGTGATGCTCACCGATAATTGATTGAACGGAAACCGGAAAGGCAAGAGTGGTGACAAAGACAAACACACAGAAAAAATCCACGATGTTTTTACAATTCCACTTACAACCTTTTCCTAACAATAACAACATCCATAAAACATAAAATCACAACACAATACAGCCTGTGAAATTTCTTTTTTCAGGGAAAAGAGAGAAGAATAACAACAGTAAAAAATTTGGAATCAAAAGAGGTAGTGAATCAAAAAATTACACCGAGTACGTTGCATCCCTGCGTAAATGTAAATCGCGACGCTCATGAAATCCTCCACAAATCGCCGTCGTACAACCGCGACCAACAAACCTCTGGCGCCGCCCACGACACACACATCCAGCAGTCTACCCTTTGCGGTCCGATTCGACTCCACGATTCAGCCTCGCGATGCTGGCCACCGTTAGCAACAGATCTGCCGGCCATCCACCGCACCGTCAATGTTGCACCAGACACTGCTTCAACCGACGACGAGATCTACTCCCACCGCCACACCTAGATATCGACGTCATCTAACCGTCCGGAGCCTGGGCAGCTGCCCTACCTGGCCGGACGCTGGCTCCGCCACTGGATAGGACCTTAGCAGAAATCTTGTGCCACAAAATGGAATAGAAGAACACAAACAGAATAGATGAAGAAAGGGGGGAAATTCATATATTGGAAATCCTAGCAAAGATGGAACAAAATGATTAAACAAATTTTCATGTATTCCGAACAAAATGAAAAATAAAAGCCACACTTTCAATTATACACAAGCTACGCTAGAAACAAGTCACGCTAGAAACAATAAAGAATCTTGGATGAAATATGTCGCTCAGGAATCTTACAGGCGGAATCTAAGTATTACGAGGAAGATCAAAAAAATCTTTTACATGAATTAAAGCAAATCTCACTTACATTGCAAGGGGGTGTTATATAACTAACCCATTCATTTTAAAGTTTTTTTAAAATAATCCCCGTATAAGTAAAATTTTAAATAAATCCTTGAACAACATATTGAAAAAAATAAAAATAAATCTATGAACATGGCTCGAAAAAAACAAAAACATTTACCGAAAAAAGGAGTCGTGTGAGCTGAACTGATTTTATCAACCCAACACACCAACAACTAACGAGATTGAGAATTGAAATTACACATTACTTATTTCAACAATTCAATTTTCCCACCTTAAATACAGTACAAGTGTTAACCTTATTGTTATGGACATTTCAAAACAATGATAATGTCATCATCTTGTAGGAAGCTACTATCCTCAACTAATTTCCGACCCCTTCCATCATCTCTCCTAAACTCTCTTCGCTACATCCAATTAAACACACCCTTTAATCCCAATGACTCAAAAGGCTTAACCACCGATCTCATCAAGTCTTATTTCAACAAAGGCTCAATCGAAGAAGCACACTCCCTATTCGACAAAATGCCCCAGAGAGATGTTATTGCCTGGACAGTCATGATCACTGGCTACACTTCATGTAATCACCACAAACGTGCATGGAATGTGTTTTCTAATATGCTCAGAGAGGGAGTGAAACCCAATGCTTTCACTGTTTCGGCTGTTTTGAAGGCTTGTAAAAGCTTGAAAGCTCTTTTGTGTGGTGAATTAGTTCATGGGTTGGCTATCAAGATTGGTACTCGAGGGTCGTCTATATATGTTGATAATGCACTCATGGATATGTATGCCACTTGCTGTGATAACATGGACAATGCTAGACTGGTTTTTGAGGATATTGTAATGAAAAATGATGTCTCTTGGACTACTTTGATCACTGGGTATACTCATAGACGTGATTCCTTTGGTGGTCTTCAAATTTTTCGCCAAATGTTTATGGTAAGCTTCTGTTTTATATCCCTGTTTCCTTATTGTTGATTATTGATTTTTCGAGTGATTGATGAAAGAATGAAAATAATTAAGTAAAGTAATCATTGATATGATATGAGTTGGAAACCTGTTTAACATAGTTTATTTTATTTTTTTGGCAAACAGGAGGGAGGAGAACTGAGTCCTTTCAGCTTTTCAATTGCTGTTAGTGCTTGTGCGTCGATTGGCTCAAGTAATTTGGGTAAGCAGGTACATGCTGCAGTGATTAATCATGGATTTGAGTCGAATCTTCCTGTCATGAATTCCATACTCGACATGTATTGCAGGTGCTGTTGCGCATCTGAGGCAAAACAAGTATTTAGTGAAATGACTCAGAAAGATACGATCACGTGGAATACTTTAATAGCTGGATTTCAAACACTGGATTCTAAAAAGTCTCTCTGCATATTTTCACAAATGGTGTCAGAAGGTGTTAGTCCGAATTGCTTCACATTTACTAGTGTTATAGCTGCATGTGCAAACTTAGCAATTCTGTATTGCGGGCAACAGCTTCACGGTGGAATCATTCATAGAGGCCTTGATAACAATTTGGAATTATCCAATGCCCTTATAGATATGTATGCTAAGTGTGGAAATGTAGATAATTCACATAAAATATTTAGAGGAATGCCCCATACAAATTTGGTCTCATGGACTTCCATGATGGTTGGATATGGTGCTCATGGACATGGAAAAGAGGCTGTTGAGTTATTCAATGCAATGGTTAGATCGGGTATTAAACCTGATAAGATAGTGTTTATGGCAGTTCTGAGTGCTTGTAGCCACGCTGGATTAGTGGATGAAGGCCTTAGATATTTTAAATTAATGACCAGCTATTATAATGTTGCCCCTGATCAAGAGATATATGCGTGTGTGGTGGATTTGCTTGGTCGTGCAGGAAGGGTAAAAGAAGCGTATGAACTAATAGAGAATATGCCATTTACGCCAGATGAGTCTATATGGGTAGCCCTTCTTGGAGCTTGTAAAAAACATAAACAACCGAGTATGGGAAAATTAGCAGCTTTGAAGGTTTTGGATATGAAACCAAATAAGGCGGGAACTTACGTGTTGTTATCAAATATTTATGCTGCTGAAGGTAACTGGGCTGATTTTGCCAGTTTGAGGAAGCTTATGAGAAGTACTATAACTAAGAAAGAGGTGGGGAGGAGCTGGGTTGAATTGAAAAATCAGGTTTACAGTTTTTCTGTTGGAGATAGATTGGTTTCTTCGCATGAGGAGGTGTGTGAAGTTCTGGAATTGTTGGTTAAACATATGAAACAAGTAGGATATGTACTTGATTTAGATTGCTTTGTACATGACTTAGAAGGTGAGACTTGAATATTTAGAAGCTGAAAATACCATCTTATTTATGAATGCTTTTACTAGATATATAAACCAATACAACTTATTATACAAGCATTCCTATTTAACATGATATTTCAAACATGTACAACCTCGTGTTAATAAACCAATACAAAAGCGTTGATATATACACGTTATTTATTCATGTATATGACTTGGGAGATGATACAGCGGATTGACCCGTAAATACAAATTCAACACACCTATCCGCAGGTCGGGACGAAATGTCCAACCGAGTATTGTTCAACCAAGGCGATTAGAAGTTGACTTCACATTTATCTATCTACCTATATCTTTTTACTCACCTTGAGTTTTTGATTGAATTTTTGATTGAGTTTTTGATTGAATTGTGTATTGGAAAATATCTCTCTTCACTATATATTGTAGAAGTATAGTTGTTTGTATCACTACAAGGATTGACAAGAGCTTAATTTTTTGAGAAAAGTTTGAGATGAAAACCAAGATGGCAAAATAGTTTGAATGAGATTGATTGATTTTTAATCTTCTCACAAAAAATGTTAAGGTATTATTAATGTTGATTGAAGTTTATTCATGAAAATGTTTGAAAATGCATGGACCTAAGTCCAAGTTTCTTATAAAAGTGGTTCAAGTTTAAAAACAAAAAGAGTTTTCAAAAAGAAGGAGAAGATTTTTGAAATTAAAGAAGATGGGAGGAGAAGAAGAGACTATCCTAAAGCATAAGGTAAAAGTTAGGGATAGGAACCATCTAACCACAAGAAGCCAATATTTGACATTATGAGCCAAGATAGAATTCACATTCTTTGGATTGAAACCAAGCAAGCAAAGATACTAGACCTCTTGAAAGAACCAAACTTCAAGTGTATTAAGTCTTCACAAAAAAATTGGGCAGAGTAATGGCTGTATACGGGTGAATTCCAGATTACAAACAAAGAGTGTAATCACAATACCTTGCACACAAAATAAACAAACAACCTAATGTCTTGAGGTAAACCTTAAGAGCTCCAGACAAAATAATCAGATAAGGTCACAAAGTCTCTAACATAGGCCAAAGTTGCTAATCCTAAGTCCAAGAAGTCCAATGCTCCATAATACCAAGGATAGTAACCAAATAGTCCAAGTATCATTAAAGATTTTTATGGTTCATGTTGATTATTAGGTGTCTTAAAAGAGAAAAGAAAAGCTCAAGTGAGCAAAATAAAAATAACAAGAATATAAATGCTCAAGTGAGTAAAATAAAAATGACATGAAATGTAATGCTTAAAGTAAATGGTGCATAAAGCATAAAAAATAAAGGGCATAAAATAAAAACAAAAGGTAAAATCAAATATTAGTGATTAGCGGTTAGTTGGATGATCATCTTGAAACTTGTATTTGGAACTCATTAGAGGATTGGTAGAACCAAAACCTCCACACAACAAGTTGCATTTTCTTTTTGTCAAGTATATCATCCATTTGGAATCCTCATAAGTACCATTTAATGATCAACGATGTTTAAGTGATCCGCGTTGACCAAATGTATTGTAGATCCATTAGAGAATTGGTATAACCAAAGCCTCCACACAATGAATCTCAAGGTTATTGGATCAAAGAAATCAAATTAACATACCTGGGCTTGCAAACATAAGTTTGGGCCACGAATGATCATTTATTCGAATCAGGACAAAATTTAGTTCAATGTTAAGCAATCGTAAGTGGACATATATAGAAGTCGCACCTATTTTGAGGTCGGTCAATAGCAATCTATGCACCATTTCTTTTGAGACATGATATAGAGATCATGCTCCAATAACACTTAGTCCAATAAGAAAGGGATGAGATGGAGAGGGGTGGGGAAGAATATACAAATCACTTTTGAATTAAATTTAATCAAACTATTATTAAAATCATTCATCCATTTTTGTGGAGTTAAACTCAACACCATAGATCCAATGATGTTAATAAAGTTCATGATAAAAAATTTAACCCAAGATCAGCCAGCAAATAGTCACAAAATGATATTACCTTTAATATATACAAAAAAAGGTTTAAGAAAAATGTTTTAAAATAGAAATAAAAGAGAAAAATATCAACTATGTTCAAATTAATCAATAAGTAAAAAGTAAGACCATAGAAAAATCAGAAATGGACTCAAATATTTTATAAATTTTTTTGGTAATTTTTTTAAGTGAGAAACTATTTTTTGAAATGAAAAGAAATGAGTAAAATAAATCAAAAATGATAAAAAAAAATAACATAGTCAGAAACAAAACTAAAATAAAATCACCAATATTTGTCACAATATCATTGGATCATTCCATAATTTTTTCAGAATTTAAAAATGCATAAAAGTATTTTTAAACATTTAAAACCATTCAAATAAAGTGAAAATTTATAAAAAGATACCAAAACACAAAATAAAATTGTGAAAAAATAAAAATCAGAAAGAGAATAATCAAAAATATTTTTCATAATTTTTTCAGATTTTTTGGACTTAAAATAAATTTTCTATGATTTTTTGAAGTTTAAAACAATTAAATATAAAAATCAGAAAAGAAAATAAAAGTAAAAAATATGTGGACTATTGGATGAGAGTTAAAACGCGTTAGTAATCAAATCCAATAGATCTGACGCGCTGTGCATATCATGGTCATTAATGGATAAAGCACTGAATCAAATGTAAATCAGAAATTCAAAAAAATCCAAATGGCGCTGCTTCATTGGTTGAAGGATGACATGTTGGTCATCTTCAACCTCCAGCCAGTCCCAAAACCAGGTTGCTCAATCTGAAAAATTAGAGCACGAGACCTATGCCATTCATTTCGTCTCTTCAAGACGAAGACAACCACACCCTCGCGATAAATTTATATAAACCATATCTCAAGCTATTTGGAAGGAAAGTTTTGAGAAAGGATTTGAAATTTCATGGTCAAAACGTGTTTCCAGTAAAAAGTAAATGTTGCAACTAGAACCAAGGCAATGAGAGCATCACAATGATATCAAAGTTTTTAAGAATTGATGAAGGAATCTACCTATTGAAGTTGAGTTGCAGAGCTCTGAAACTGGACTTCTATGGAGCAATATAGGGCACGATTCTTCAATGTAATTATATGGTTAGCTTCAAGGAAGATCAAGGAAGGTGAATTGATGGAAAAATTGGATTGAAAAAGGCATGAAAATAGATTTCAAAGTTGCTGAATTTTGAGTTATGGAACAAGTTTGGCAGGGTGATTCTGGATATCCAAGCTTGAGGAAATGAATGGAGAATGACCCTCTATTTATAGGGAATCAAATAGAATGTCCAAGCGTATGAAATGATGAAGTTTGGAGGGAAATTGTGTGAAGTTGCAAACAAGAAAAGTGTGACTTCTGATTTGATCAAAACTCATCCAAAACGCGCGTTTTATTGTGCTAATCAATTCTGGAACTTCATTAAACATGTTTAGAGGCATAAACGCGTGGAAAACTTGTGATTAGAAGCCAAAACAAAGACTTCAAATTCTGACTTATGGGGAAACTTCAGTTCCAAGTTACCAAGTTCAATTCAATGGCAATCTCATCTCAAGGGGTCTTAGGGCATGATTCTTGATGCTTTAGAAAGATGAGGTTACAATATTTGCAATGGAAAAAGAATGGAATCAAATAGATGCTTGATCTGAAAATTGTGTTGAGTCAAAGTTGGAGAAAAAGAGTTGACTTTCCATACTTAGAAATATTTCAAATTTTCCTTCAAAATTGACCTATAATGTCTTGCATCCAAACATGGTCTTCCACTTGGATTTTGCTCTTGACTAAAAAATATGGTATGAAATAGACCTCTTGAATGACATTTTGGGACTCGAACCATTAAAAATATCCAAAAATTGAGAGAGTTATGAATTGTTGAAGTTGGAAAAAAATCATGAAATGACCTATAATCTTATGTATCCTTAAGGAAACTTCCATCAATTTTCTCACTTTGCATATAAAAGAAGGCATAAAGTTCACATCCTCAAGATCATTATGGAAAAATAATGGGATAAAGGTGATAACAATTGACCAAGTTATGATCATTTAAAGTCACACATGAAAAATTGGGGATTCATCTGGAGGACTTGTAATCTTTCTTCTTCATCAAGTTTCTTCCACATGAAAACTCCTTGGAACTTTTGAAGTGATTTGTTGGTAACCATTTAAAGAGAAGGATGTCATTGGAATTACTCCAAAATACCAAAAGATGAGCAAGATATGCTTCTTTGAAGTTCAAAACCCTAGCTCCTAGGTCAAGAAAAATGCCTTGGGGAACTTTGACAATTTTGAACAAACTTCTTGTACCAACACAAATGCTTTATAAATATAAGTTATTAAGGATGATAATGATAAATCATAGCAACCACAATCACTTCCATATCTTGAGAATTGAGAGAAATATGCATTTGTGACCAATGGGAACAAAGCCTTGTCCAAGCATGACAACTTCTCCAATCAATCCGTTGTGCTTTTGAACCAAATTTGATAATCTTGAAATATGGTGAGCCAAAATAACCTTGCCATGTCATTTCCTCCAAAACAATTCCAATGGTGAGGTTTGAGCTTCTCAAGCTTTATTGACTAGGGCATAGAAATAAACTCATGAACCCATGGAGCAACTTGCTGAATCCTATTGCCTTTACCTACATGAGTAACAAGCAAGACAAACTAACATTGCATTTTATTAATTAAGAGAATAAATTAAGACAAAATATTCATGATCACAAAAGAATACAAGTCAAGGTGCTTGGTGATTCCTCAAAGAGAAAAGCTAAATATATGGAGGGGATGTAACAAAAAATAAAGAAACAAGAGAGTAACCCAACCAGGAAAATAAATCATTGGTGGATCAAAAAGACCTGAATTAGAGAGGATGGTAAAATGGTCAAAGGATACACCAACTTCAACTGAAGGCGAAGCTACCAACATTTACTGAAGTCAGAGAGAAAGAATCATCGACGTTCATTGACCTACCAACTTTCACTGAAGGTATGAAGAGAAAATATATC